TTTCTTTTCAACTTCAGGTATGAGGGTTGGCGTGAAATCGGCCACGAAGTTCGCTTAAATTTGAGATTTGGCCATTCGGAGTTGATATTCGATATCGTACCCACTGAGTTCGACGGCCCATTTGGCCAATCGGCTCGATAGTTCGGGCTTGTGCAAACTATTACGAAGTGGGTAAGTGGTTAATATGCATATGGGGTGACATTGAAAGTATGGTTTTAACTTTCTAGAGGCGCTTATCAGTGCAAGTGCCAATTTCTCTAATTGTGGATATCTAGTTTCTGCTTCTCCTAAAGTTTGACTTACATAATAAACAGTAAATTGCATACCTTGTTCTTCTCGAACTAGTACACCACTTATTGCGATTTCAGATACCGCCAAGTACAAGTAAATTTTCTCATTTTCCTTTGGAGTGTGAAGTAGTGGTGGGCTCGATAGGTATCACTTCAATTCCTCTAATGCCTACTGGCATTCCGGGGTCCAGGCGAAGTCATTCTTCTTTTTGAGTAAAGAGAAAAATATGTGGCTTCGATCTGACGACCTCGAGATGAACCGGCCTAAGGCAGCTATCCGTCCAGTTAGCCTCTGCACGGCTTTTACACTGTCCACGGCGGTGATGTCTTAGATGGCCTTGATTTTATCGGGGTTGATCTCGATCCCCCGATTCGATACCATGAAACCGAGGAACTTGCCCGAACCGACCCCGAAAGCACATTTCTCGGGGTTGAGCTTCATGTTGTATTTCCTTAAAATCTCGAACGTTTCCTGCAAATGAGCCAAATGGTCCTCTGCGCGAAGGGACTTAACTAGCATGTAATCAATATAATCCTCCATTGATTTACCTATTTGTTCTTCGAACATTTTATTTACTAGGCGTTGGTAAGTAGCTCCTGCATTATTTTTGCCCGAAGGGCATTGCATTATAACAATATGTTCCATACTTGGTGATAAATGAAGTCTTTTCTTGGTCTTTCAGATTCATTTGGATTTGATTGTACCCGGAATAGGCATCAAGAAAAGTAAGGATCTCGTGGCCGGCCGTAGCATCAATCATGCGATCGATGTTAGGCAGTGGAAAATAATCTTTGGGGCAGGCCTTGTTTAAATCCTTATAATCTACACACATTCTAAGTTTATACCCTTTTTTAGGGACTACAACTATATTGGCTAACCATTCGGGATATTTCACCTCCCGAATTGATCCTATTTTGAGAAGTCTAGTTACCTCGTCCTTTATAAATATGTGCTTTACTTCGGAATGGGGTCTTCTCTTCTGCTTCACCGGTTTGAACCTAGGGTCTAGGCTTAGCCGATATCTCGTTACCTCCAGTGGAATCCCTGTCATGTCTAAATGGGACCAAGAAAAACAATTTATGTTATCAACAAGAAATTGAATAAGCTTTTTCTTGAGTTCGGGGGTTAATCCCGTTCCTAGGTATACCTTTCACTCGGGCAGATACTCGATCAATATAACATGTTCCAGCTCTTCAACCGTTGATTTGGTGGCGTCGGTATCTTCGGGAACAACAAAAGTTCGAGGGGTCAGAAAATCCTCTTCTTCTTCTTCTATCTCCTGCTTCCCCGATTCTGTCGAGGCTGGTGGCTGTGATTGCTATTTGACTTCCTGTTTATCTTTGATGTTCGACCTTTTCGAAGTTGATAGTGTCGTTATCGATATTACCTCATCGACCGCAAATATTTTTTTTGCAGCATGTTTCTCTCGTATACTGTTTTTACACCGTCTGATGTCGGGAATTTTATCATTTGGTGGAGAGTCGAAGGGACTGCCTTCATATTGTGGATCCAAGGCCTTCCGAATATGGCATTGTACCTTATGTCGCCCTCGATTATGTGGAACTTGGTATCTTGAATGGTTCCAGCCATGTTCACTGGTAGAATAATCTCCCCTTTAGTTGTTTCACTGGCCATAATGAAGTCGTTTAAGACCCGAGTTACGGGCACGATTTGATTTTGTAGGCCGAGATGCTCCACGACCCTCGATCGGATGATATTCGCCGAGCTACCTGGATCCACTAAAACACGCTTAACTTGAACTTTATTTAATAAGATAGAAATTACCAGAGCGTCGTTATGGGGCTGAGAAATGCCTTCTGCTTCTTTGTCGTTGAATGATAAAGTGCTTTCGGGCACATAATCTCGGGTTCGTTTTTCCCTAGTGAATGATACCTTAGTGCGTTTGAATATGGGCCCCTTTAGAATGTCAACCCTACCGACGATTATATGAATGGCATATTGGGGGTTCATCGTGCTTATTTTTCCTGTTGGCGTCTCTTTCTTTGAAATGCTTCTTAGCTCGATTGCTAAGGAACTCTCGAAGGTGACCCTTATTGAATAGACGGGCTACCTCCTCCCTTAATTGCCTGCAATCCTTGGTTCTATGACCATGCGTGCCATGATACTTGCACATTAAATTTGGGTTTCTTTGGGAAGGATCGGTCTGTATGGGTCTGGGCCACCTAGTATCTTTGATCTTTCCGATTGCCGATACAATGCCCGATGCATCGATGCTAAAGTTATATTCCGATAACCGAGGTGCCTCAGTGGGATCGGCATACTTGTCGAAACTACTTTTGCTCATAAGTCCCCGAGAATTCTGTCCTCGATCACTTCTTCGATCATTTCGGGCGGAATTGCGTCCTGAACCATTGTTCCTTCGATCTGCGGTATATGGTTGATATCATTCTCTGTTCGACCTCGGCTCCCTATCGATGTCCCTTTGGGTTTTAACTACCGACCTATTAGGATGTACTGAACCGGAAGGGGTTCCGAATTGGTCATCCTCGACCTTGATCTTCGATTGATATCGATTGTGCACGTCTGCCCAAGTTACAGCTGGGTACTCGATCAAAGTTTGTTTCAACTGACGTGATGCTATCGAACTCTGATCGTTCAACCCTTGGGTGAAAGCTTGAACGGCCCAGTCATCTGTGACCGGTGGCAACTCCATGCGTTCAATTTAAAATCGGGACACGAACTCCCTCAGCATTTCATTATCCCTCTGTCTTACCTTGAAAAGATCTGATTTCTTTGTTGCGACTTTTATGGCCCCGGCGTGTGCCTTTACGAAAGAATCTGCTAACATGACAAATGAGTTGATGGAATTTGGTGGCAGGTTGTGATACCAAATCATTGCTCCCTTCGAAAGGATCTCTCCGAATTGTTTTAACAGCACAGATTTGATTTCATCATCCTCTAAATCGTTACCCTTGATGGCGCATGTATATGAAGTAACATGCTCATTGGGATCGGTGGTACCATTATATTTGGGTATGTCTGTCATACGAAACTTCTTTGGAATAGGCTTCAGAGCCGCACTTGGAGGAAAGGGCTTTTGTACAAACATCTTCGAATACATCCCTTTCAAGATTGGCGGTGCCCCTTGTATCTGATCAACTCAAGAGTTGTATGTCTCTACTTTTTTTATCGTTGGCTTCGATTCTCTTCTCCTCTGATTCAATTCTTTTGGTGAGCTCCTCGAGCATTTTAATTACCACAGGATCAGTCCCCAATTCGTTACCATTCGGCCTCTCCGATACTGGCTCGGTAGGGCGAGTAATTTCCAGGTCGACCATATTCAGAGCTTTATGTTGATTTTTTAACTGAGTAATAGCGGCCTGCTGATCCTGAAGCATCTCGAATATCACTTGGAGACTGACTCCCTCGTTTCCTCTGCCCTGCCTTCCTTGGCCACTAGATCGACCTTCTCTGCGTATACTCCCATCGAGATCTGTGCCTAGGTCCGCATTTAGAGCAACGTGCGAACTAACATCGAATGGGTTGGCAATCGGTGCTCCCCCGTGATTAGCCTGTGGCACTTTGATTCCTGGAGCAATCACATTTTCGTTTTCACCATGGAATCCGAAGCCATTGTCACCGTGTGTGGATGCGTTTTGTGAGTTTAACATGTTTTAATCTGAAAGCAAAGATACTTACAAGAACAAGCGTAAAATAGTGTGTTTTATCGGAATCAGCACTGAACAATCACTATTATCCTTAGCCCCACGGTGGGCGCCAAACTGTTTACCCTAAAATTCTAATTAAACTTATTTAGTGGTTTCAAGGATACGTGATTTAATCCAATACTAATTGATAAACAAGGAATTAAATAGATAATCTGAATAGTAAAATAAATTAAACCAGAGTTCTAGCAGTGCTTTCGACCTCGATTCGAGATGGTCTCGAGTGGGTAACAAGAACAGTAAAGAACAGAAAATAAACAGTGATAGCAGTAATGGATAGTAAGTGAAATAGAGAGCAACATTTGTATATTTTTTCAGCGAATAATCCCCCTTACAAATGAATCGGATTCCCCCTTATATAGTAGAGGAATTCTAAATAAGGTACAATTCTAATAACGGAAACAAATCCCATGATTGGCGTCAATAACCGCTTGATTCGATATGTTCCGGGATTTCCGCCGAAATCTTCGGTCGGTTGCTAATATCTCGTCATTCCGTTATTATGCCTTACTCGAAGTCGGTCATGCTCGGTCTCGATCTTCAGCGAGCACTTCAATCTTCATGCTCCACACTCTGCCATTGAGCTCGAGCCTGGTCTATTACGAGCTTACTCTCGAAGCAGCTCCTCGTGTCTATGAAATCGGACATGCCCGATTTCGACCGTATACAGAAGGCTACTATTATAAAGAAGGAACATATATTTTCTTCACTTTGCTTTTCTTTTTCTATATAGATAGATAGATATAGATATAGATAGATATATAGATAGTAGATTATTAATATAGGTGCACAAAATTAAGATCATCTACAGCACGGTTGTTCTGCATGACCAGTTTCCCCCCTTTGTTTTCTTTCTGTTTTTTGGCATAAACACGAGTAGAAAAGATCAAACGGATAAGAGCTGAAATCTTAATTCGCAATATTACAATTTAAAATTCGAATTTATAAATTCTTAATCACTAATTATTTTATGAGGCAACGTTGCATGACAGGTTAACGTTCCTGTCATTGGACTATCAGGGGTAGTCTGATTTACGATCTAATTTTACGGAGATTATAACATAAGAATTGTTTCAGCTACATATAAACATATATCGTTTCAGCTATTGTCTTCCATCAACAAACTTGTTTAGCAGTCGAATTACAATTAGAGAGCACTACAACACTCGACATTGGCTAGATGGTTGACAAAAAAATTCAGTGCCCGCAAAGTTAGAACATTTAAACCAGCAAGGAACTTCCCCAACAAAAAGTTACAGCAGTTTTGGTGAATGTTCCGCCAGTACTTCCACACGCTCTACATTTCCATGACTGCTTGGGCTCTGTTCTCAACTCTTGTTTGAGCAGTTGCATTTACCTCACTGCTTGGGCCAGCATCCTCTGTGTGCACAGGACGCAGAAAACCTTGCGATCTCAGCAGATATCTCATGCTAGAAGGTTGGGATCTCAAATACCATGCTGAAACAACATGGATATTTGCCAAAGAACTGAGACCAAGATTTGGAAAAACTGAATGACATCTAGTATGACTGTCGTGGTGTTGGCTTCTAACAAACCAACCTCCACCAACAACACAAGAAAAAGGGGAAAAGTAGAAAAGGATAACAAATTGCAAAATGGGCATTATGTCCTAATCCTACTTAACTGGAATTAGCATGCATTTGATCCCCCCATATATCTTTTGATCAGTTAAGTGTCTTCAAGGCATACCGAGATATACAATCATCCTCTTCACTAAGCTACAGAAACCCGAAGATTATAGATAGCAACTACAACCTAAAACAACACCAAACCAAGTCTTTCTCACCTTCTTTTAACCATGTTTCTCAGAATTTAAGCTCTTAGTTCTCTTGAATTAGGAGGGGATGGGGACGATTGCATGACAGTAGTAATTCCAGTATTCCACTAGTTGAGCATGCACCTTCAAACTATTATTGCTCCAGTACTCCCACAGTACTACCCCTACAACGGCATTGGAAATTAATCTGACTTGCATATAAAATACTACTTTATGAGAAATTTTGAGTCATTTGGTTGATGTTCACAATGTATTTTGGTGGAAGCTGTATATGATAGTGTAGATTTGTATTATACAATTAAATTGTAGAATGACACGCGAAATGTTATTATTATCCGAAATGAGTCAACATGTGAGAGCATCATACAAGAAAAGTGGAGTCCTAAAAATTCTTTAATAATAAGGAGAAGTTTACCCAAAAAAAAAAAATTACCTCATTTCCCACATTAAACTCTTCCAAACAGATAGGGCACTCACTGCAGTCAGTTGGAACAGCCTTCATCATGAACATTGGAAGTTCTTGAATGAGTGCCTGCCAAAAAGAAATCACCAGTTAAGATGAGAGAAAATATTAGAATTCACCAGGTGTGTAGCAAGGGATTCATATTGAAGACTGCCTTGAGCTGTTGACAGCAAGTTTTCAGTCATTACCTGAGCTTGGCTCATATAAATTCCTGGATGGTATGAAGCAGCATCTTGGCCCATCCCTCTCATCTCCGGGCCAGTAGCTTCAAATGTCCAATCTGGCACTCTGATCATGTCGACTAACACCTGAAATAAGGAAAATTCATAAGCTTGTGGAGCAAAACCGAAATAGCTCACCAAGAAAACCAAATTATCACCATACCATAGAGTATTTCCACAACAGTGGCCCAAGAAAGAACAACAATTATTCATTCATAATTGTTTGATATTCACTTCTGATGACACAGAGCAGATTAGTCGAACCAAATTATAAACGGAGATCACCCAGGGAGAAATTGTTTACTCTACTCTTACTTCCTAAAAACAATAAAACAAAATCAACTCCAACTAGCTTGGAATTGAAGCATAGTTGATTGGTTCATCGCTTGATAGTTATTCTAACAGAAAGAGCACCATAAAAATCACAGTAATATCTTTTAGAGGAACGGTGCATTAAGAAAATACATCAAGCTCATCTCCCTAGTTATACGAGGTCAAACTACAAGAAGTACTTTAACTCATCAACATCACACCAGGACGTTCCATATAGCTTCATCTGTTTTATGTAATGAACTGAAAGCACTAGCACTGATGAAAAGCGAAAATTAAGTATCAAGAAAGTTTAATTAGAACCCTAGCAGAGCAGCTATTTCTTGATAAAATGCTATTAGTATGCAATCTGTATATCAATACAGATGCCTCTGCCTTGGTTGGCATAAGCGGAAGGTCTCATGAGATATGATCTATACAAGTATTATTAAAACACAATTCTCTGTATAAAAGAATCTTACAATAGAGCTGGGCCCTTAAGCAGTAAAACCAGCCTCTCCCCCGACCACACCTACTCCTGTCACCTTTAATATCATCATATAAACCTGCAAATCCCTTATTAAGCAGCTGGAAGCACTAGGTTGAGGTAATCGCGAGAGTTGCTCCAGCAACATAATCCTGCACCCACCAACTATTCATGTCAAATAATATCTTTAATCCTAGCCAAGGAAAAAGAAAAAAAGAAGAGAAATTTCCATGAAGAAGAAACACAGAAGTTACATTGACAAAAGAATAAAGAAATCTCCGCATACATTTTAAACAAGGCAACGAAAAAGCAGAAGTTGAACATCATGATCCAATCGTACTTGTTCAACATAGTTGTAAACATAAGACATGAATTTTTCCTATATCTAACCTACCACAGAGCTATCGATTTGATGGAAAAGTTTTATGCAAGCTTTTAATCATTTAACAGTTTATACAACAACAATTACAACTCAATTCCAAACCGCTTCAGCTTAGTAATATAAATCCTTTGTGTTATCATTTTGGATTTAAACTAAATAATATATCTTATAAGATAAATTAGGGGTTCGCCAAAGAGGTTCTCCAAATCTATTATTTCTATAATTACTCCTAAGCAGACATACAAGTCTATAACAAACGAAAAGGACCCTCGACAAACATGGAAGCAACACGAAATAAGTCCAGAGGAACTGGTTGTTGCTTCTCATTCCACAAATATTTGTTTATTTACATTAGCCCTAAAAGAATATAAGTTTAAATTACCTGATTTTCTCCAGCTCCCAGGTGAATTCTGATTCTGCGGGAGCATTGGTTCAGCAATAAGAGTATAAGTTGGGCCAAAATACTCGTAATAGTGGCGTACTCCCATAGTCTTACCCTAACCCTACAAGTACATTGGAAATTAATATGACTTGCATATAAAATGCTGGCGGTAAGAGAAATTTTTAATAATTTGGTTGTGTTTACCCTAAAAAAAAAAAAACGGATAACAATTTAATTTATACGCGGTTTTAAGTATACGTGATATAATTTGGCACAAATTGAGAATATATATATATTAATATTGAACTTGACTGTGAAAGAAATGAATGCAAACCAAACGAATCGAATAGCCTTGGCCCTCGAGTTCGATCACCCTCAAACCAAGTGGAGATTTAAGTGACATAAGAACAGAGTAACAAGATATTGAAAGCTAGAAGAAGGCAGTATATTGCTTTGTATTGAGTAAACGTGATCTGTCTTACAAATGATCACACACCTTTTATATAGTAGGAGGATACAATTCTAAATACAGTAAGGAATCTCATGATAGGCTAATTAATCGGCCTCCTCTTGATACGTGCCGGGATTTTCGCCGCGATCCTTGCCTGATTGCGGATATTTCGGCTTTTCGTTATTTGGCTCGGTAAGCTTCCCTCGATCTCGCTCGATCTTTATCTTGATCGATCTCTGGGTCACGAGCTCGGCAACCTAACTTTGCACCATGGTTAGATATAACACGAGGGTGAACCTTGGCCTATCATGTTCTAGTCTCGATTAGTCATACGAATGGCAAGCCCGATTTTGACCGTATACAGATAGTCCCATCGTTTCTCAGAAAGAAGATAACGAGAAACGATATGAATTTTCGAGCTCCATCTCGATGGGTAACGTAAGCGACGAACGTTACTGATACACCCGATCATGACGTAAGCAACAACTCGAAACGTACTGTCTGTCTAGTTTTTCAAGGTATTAAATGCCTGTCAGTCGTTGGTCGGCCACTACCGGTTCTGAACCGTCACCAACAAGCCATAAGTACCCTAGCTTTTTTTCATTCAAACTTTTACGTTCAATGCTCTTCCTACTCCTTCGTTTTCTTCAAAAATCCCTTTGCTTTACAACTTTTTCCACCCAATTTTCTTGAATTCTCATCAATCGGCATACTATCTTAATTCTCTTTTCTCCTGTTCTTCAATGGCAAAAACTTCTAAGAACGTACCGCAAAAAGAGGCTGCTTCTTCATCACGGCCCGCCGGCGGTGAGGCTGCGACGGAACCTCACCCCTGAGGAATTCGTTCTGACAGGGTGCCTGACTGTTACTGATTTTAGGGTCGAAAAGACCTCCTCGGTACCGGGCCGATGTGAGCCGGTCTCGAGGTACATATGCACAATCACCGAAGACCTCCTCACTAGGGTTAAACAGGACTGCAACTGGGTCAATAAGAATGTGGTGGTTCCTTCGCCCGAGGAATCGATCACTACCCATGTGGAGGGATTTCTAAGTGTTTACACATACCCCTTCACGTTGGGTCTCTATTGTTTTTTTCAAGAGGTATGATGTGACCCTCGACCAGATCCACCCCTTCTTCTGGAGAATAGTGATTCTCCTCCGATTTTTTGTAAGCAAAATTGAGGGATATCCCTTTACCCTCGACCACCTTATATGCCTCTACAGACCCCGACTCTATCGAGGGGGGTTGATCAAGCTTGCTCGTCGAGCTAGTAAGGCTCCATTCTCGAGCATAGATGAAGATTGGGACTGAGGTTGGATGGGCCGTTTTGTTCGAGTAAGGACTTCGGACCTAATCCATGCTAAAGACATGCTATTTCCCGAGAAATGAAACATGAAACGTAAGTGGTACTTCGCTTTGAAGGTTTAATCTCATTGCTTTTCTTCTTATTTCTTTCTTCATTGATGCTTTTTGGCGTCACAGTTGTGGCCTAGATGTCGGACCTGATTCTGGAACTTAAGGAATGGGTCGAAGGCCTTGTGTTACAGAGGTCGTACTCAGAGCGTACTTGGATGGAGTTATCGAAGGGTCGATGGGAGGCCAAAGAGAGGAAGAGGAAAGGGGATACGAGTTCCCCCGGCTCAAAAAAGAAGAGACCGGCAAGGAGGTATCGCAAGTCCGGGGGGACACCGATGCTATGTCTTCGGATTTAATCCACCGATTAAGGGATGAGTCCGAAGAAGAAGAGGAAGATAATTCTAAACTGGTGTCCCATGTGCAGGCTGGTGTCATCGTACAAGAAGTTCTCGAACCGTTGAGCGTTGAAGTTGAAACACCCCGACATGAGGAGGTCGATGAGAGAGCTCTAGCTGAAGCTTCAGATCCAGAAAGGGTCGAACCCATTCCGCCCCAAGCTAGGGGGGTCTAGAGAGAGACCGGGGACGATGGTTATCGAGCTGCGGAAAATGCCCTAATAGACGAACTTGGAGCGGTCGACATCAGCGGGTCTCCTCAGATTTCGAATGCTATGATCTGTGAGGCCGATATGTTGAGTCCTCAGGAGGTGACTGATATCCATGACTTCTTGGATGGGTTGAGTCCGCAGCTTTGGAAGACGTCACCGGGCTCGGTGACCTACCAGTACAAAGTAAGGAATCGATGTCGGGTTCCACCAAGTCTTCATCGGGCCCAACTCGGTGGATCGATTCCCGGCCCCAAGTGTTAATCCTGACCAAATACGGTCAATAACTTTTTCTATCCCGGAGGACGCCCGAATTTTCTCTGCCCCCATGGGGGTCACTAGTTACCTTCGGTGTTTGGTGACCGAAAAAGACGAGGCAGTGATGGACGAGGTGGAAACCACCTACCTATTCAATGAAGCCCAACAAGTATTAAATCGGGTAAATTCGCGTGTCTTTTCTTTCTCATATATTCTAACTTTTAAAGTTGTAAATAACCATAACATCTTCCCTTATTCTTGTAGGCTTCGGTGCTGTATCACGAGGCTTTCCTCCGATATTGGGAGGAATTAACTCATCATGAAGCCGAGGTCTGGGACCTTACTGAGAAAAGTTACACCTACAAGCTTCCCAGTGAGAACATTCAGGCCGATTTAGTAACGGCTCGGGACGAGCATGCCTAGATAGACGAACATGTATTCCGAGTGCTTCATGATAGTGAAGATGAATTGGAGATAGTAACTAACGATCCAATCCTGCAGGTTTGGCAGAGGCTTGAATAGATCGGGGAGCTTCAGAAATAAGTAGATATTATACAAGTCTAGGCTGAAGATTTCAAAAAGTATATGGACCTCTTAGCCTCGAAAAAGGAAACAGTCCAAGCACAAATGGAGTCGGCCGAGACCCAGCTCTAAGCCGCAAAAGAGAAGACCTCGGTGCAGGTCGAGAAAATCAATGAGTTTCAATCTCAGTTGGACTTGGTTGTTTCCGATAAGGCAAACATAGCTAATGAACTCGAAGTGGCCAGATCTGAGGTGGTCGTGGCCAACACCAAAATTGATGCTAAAGTGGCCCAATTTAAGGTTGATGTCGAGTCCATCCAGGCGAAGGCCAAGATCATGGTGGATCATGCAAAATGGCAAGCTCGAAGGGAAGCCCTCGAGGGAGTTCATGCTCAGGGCTTCGATATTATGGCCGAAATCGAGAATGCCAAAGTAGAGGAAACTAGGGCCCGGAAGCTGGCCTTTCCTGAGGAAGACTCCGACAGCTTAAGCGAGTCCGAAGACGAGGAAGATCCCTAGGATGGAGATGCTACCCCCTATGAAGTCCAGGCCACTTAGGCCTTTATATTTTTGCTTTCTTTTGCATCTTTTTAGGCCGTTTTGACCATTGTAAATTTTTGTATTAGGCCGATCTTGCCTTTGCAAAAAATATTATTATATATATAAGGCTTTTCTTCCCCTTCCGTCTCTCAAACTTTTCCTTTGCTTTATTACTTGTATTCACAAAGGTCGAAATACTTTAGCATGAAACAATAAGGTTATGTTCGAGGGTTCGAACAAATCTTACTTTTATTGCCTTTCTGGGTTAAGGCGTTGTTGGGGTTCGACGTTACCGAAGATTTTTCCCCGAAAATATCTTAAGTTTATGTTTTGCCGAGGGCAGCCTTTAGAACCGGTTGCGAAAAATTTTCTCTTTTTCGAAGGCCTGCTTTTTGTTACTGGTTTCGGACGTCTCTGAGCCGTGTTAAATTGGCCGTAGCCTTTTAGTTCAGGAATTGACCATTGTGCTTATTTTCCCGAGTCATCCGGTCTTGCCCGAGATAACAGTCCCCGAGTGGGGTGGTCGTGGCCTTTAGAAATCGGGGAGTTGCTTAATAGGTCTTTTGCCCCCGAGGCCTGATGACTTGGGCTATTTGAGTTGGATGGCAGTCCCCGAGTGAGTGGGTGGTCGTTCGCATTTTGGTTATGTATTCCCCTTGGGCTTGTTATTTTCAGAGGTATGAAGCTCTTTAAGGGGATGTAAAGAGGAAAAATTTTAAAACATAAGTTGATTGCAAGGAAAGTACTTCTCTTTATTCTCGATCAAAACAATCATACATTCATACATGTTTTATGCCATGGCACGAGCAATCTACATGGGTACGGTTCATTTTGATCATTTGGCCCTTATAATAAATCCTATCTATCGATACCATCCCTTTATGAAGTGGTTCCTTGCTAGAGTTGATATTTGAAGACAATGCATATCTGAGGGTAGCCCCCAGTATTCGAGGTTGATTGCAAAGGAACCTCAGATATTGTTAAATTGATCTTCGGTGTTGATTCGTAATCGAGCTTGATTCTAAGTTAGCACGATTCATTGTTACCTAGTTAAAAACCTCGCCGAAAAACCCATTTGGGACAAAACCAATCTAAGGAAAAAAGAGTGCAAGACATGCTTTCAGACCTAAAGACTTTGTGACGTTCACCGAAAAATCCATCGTCGTTTCTTGTTGACCACCTGCAAGT